TTTTTCCTTCCCGGGTTTTTTTTTTTTTTTTTTTTTAGTGACCCAAAATCTTTGGTTTGGTTTTTGTTCTGCTTTGAGGGGCGGCAGGGGTGGACTTTAGCGCTCCTGTGCTTGTAGAAAGATCGCAGTGCTAAATTAGCTCACTGGGTGCCAGGAAGCCAGAGAGCCAAGACAGCACACCCCGGAACGGTACTTCGCAGGGGACATTTCCTGGGCACGGGCAAGCAAGAAAAACAGCCCGGACGCAAAGAGGTGGGTTCGCACGAGGCTGCCCACCACTGGGATGCAACTTCTGGCAATTCCCATAAACGTCCATCACCAAGTCACCAAAAAAGAAAAGGAAGCAAAACAGAGGCCCCAAGGCCCTGCCTGGAAACGGTCCTGCGTCACCTCTCGGCTCTTGCCCTGGATCCTCCCCTGGTGCCTTTGAGCAAGGCCCCCAGGATCTGAACCATCCCAAAGGAGTGCAGGGTACAGTTAATTTTTTTTAATGTGGCGCTCAACCAAGACTCCATTTCCAGAGCTGGGTTATTTTTTTCCTCCACTATCTTCTTAGCAAAGACCCCATCCTTGAGCTAGAGTCGAGGCTGCTGGATCACAACTCCCATCATCCTTCACACTGGCTGGGCTGGCAGGCTTTCTTAAGTCATTTGCTGCCCACGGTGAGCAGAAGGTATCCCTTTAGGCTGATACAGTCCTACCTCTCCCTCAACTCGCATCCTGTTTCGCCTCCCATTGTATTGAGGCGAAATACATTTTGTATTGCAAAGTTTTGATTCCACAGCATTTGGCCACTCCGGTTTGCATCTTGTAGAGAATTTACCGCTATTTTAGGCTGATCCAGTCCTACCTCTCCCTCGACTCGCATCCTGTTTCGCCTCCCATTGTATTGAGGCGAAATACATTTTGTATTGCAAAGTTTTGATTCCACAGCATTTGGCCACTCCGGTTTGCATCTTGTAGAGAATTTACCGCTATAGCAGTTCTCAATCTCCCTGGTCAAACTCCTCACGGGGGCCTCTCCGTTCTGCCATAACATTCAAGTTGTTGAAGATAAATGTGCTCCGTTCTTCACCAAGCTCTGTTCTTGAGCCCTCTTACGGCATTTTCTCTCTCTCCTTCTCCTTTTTTTTTACATTTTGTTCAAATCAGTAGAGCTTACATGGGAGAACTTTTGCCCAAAGCTAGGACATCAGATTACAAAATCAGGAAGAAATGAGACCAAATTCCTTCTTCCCCAAAGAAGGTGGTTGTGATTACACGCTGTGGAGTCCCACCTGATTCATCGCAACCTCAGTGGGGTTCAGTGAGTTTCCATGGTCAAACACGGATTCGAACTCAGGATCCCGGAGACCTTATCTATCATACTATCCGCTATATCTCACCAGCCCTCAAGCGAGAGTTATCCTGGAGGAATCAGAAAGTGCAAATCCACTGCCGTTACAATAGCTGCGGGGGGGGGGCGGTTTCCCTCATACATGAAATGACCAACTCTTCCTGCCCCCCCCCCCGTGAGCCTTTCTATGCCAAGAGTTTTCACCCCAGCTTCCTCCAGGCGGTGCTGGGCTACACACCGCATCATCCCCCCTCAGCAGTGTGGGCATGGGACAGGGCAGGTTGCAATCCCTCTTCTCACCCTGCAGGATTCACCCGGCTGAATGAGACGGACCCTCCTTAATGCCTCTCTTTTCCTTTCTCGGTGGCTAGCTTTCGATGGGGACTACTGGCGCCTGCTGAACCCCGGCGAGTACGAGGTCACGGCCACGGCCGAGGGCTATCACCCCGTCACCCGGAGCTGTCGCGTTTCTTACGAGGACCACCCCACCCTCTGCAACTTCCACCTGACGAAGACGCCCAAGCAGCGGCTCCGGGAAATCCTGGCCAAAGGCGGCAAGCCCCCCAAGGACCTGATCCTGCGGCTGCGCCAGCTGCGGATGCGCAAACTGGAGGCCCTAAGGCGGCGGGCCCTCCAGTGAGAGACACTGCCGGACTCCTCCAGAGCCAAGGGGACGCCCTCGGGGGCCCTCCGCTCCTCTTCCGGTCTTCGCAGCTTTGAGCTTCTAGTAGAGACGGGCAGATTTGCTGTTTTTGGAACCATTTTCGGGCCAGATGGGCAGCACAGGCCGAGGCGGCGAGGCGTTCTTACCAGCAAAGGCCCCAAAAATGGTTTTCCTATGACATTTGCCACCTGGATCAGCCCCCACCAAAATCGGTATTTTTTTAAAAAAATACACCGACTAGAAAGGTGTCAAAAACAGCACCACGTTTCCAAAAAAAGAGTTCTGGAGGTTCAATATTTATACAATACTTAGAGATTTATTTTTCCTCCCTAGCATTCCCTGCAGGACCCCCCCCACAAAAAAAGAGTTCTAGTTGCTGACTCTATATACTTAGTGGCTTGGCCAAAGCTTTTTGCTTTGAAACACTAAATGTTGTCGCTTCTGGGGTTGAACATGGGTCTCGAAAAGGGGTTCCAGGTGAGCCCTGCAGGCTCCTTAAAATCTGGTTAGAAAGAACACCTCCCACCCAGACCTATAAGCTAATCTGCTTTGCTTTGTTCTCAACTAGCGGGCAATATTTAGCACATGTATCCAATAACCAAGGGACTAGGTCTCCATGTGGATTTTCAGAGATTCATCAGGAAGGGAGTTTGGGGGCAAGCGAACAGAGGGCATAGGTCTAAACCTCATTTCAAATGAAGTAAGTCTATATCCTATAAAGATTTGTACCTTTAAGAGTGACAAGGAGGGGGGAGTGCATCAGATCTGGCTTCTTCCCTCGGGGAGGAGAAAAGCCACCTCTAGCTAAGAAAGAGAGAAAGAGCATGCTGTCCGGAGAACTCTTAAAGCTGAGGAGGGCAGCCAAGGTCCTCCAGATGTTCTTGGCCCATTGCCTTCATCAACCCTAGCCAGCATAGCCTGTGATGAGAGATGATAGGAACCGCAGTCCAGAAACATCTGGAGGACCAGCGTCGCCCAGCCCAATGAAGCCAAGGGCTAGAAGTCGGGGGGGGGGCTCAAACTTCACAAAAATTAAATTCTTCCACAGGAGCTCCATGTCTTTGTGACAGTGCACGCAACCGTCTCGGTCAGTCCTTTCCAAACTCTTTATAGCCTTCAGCCCCAACGATGGAGCTTCCTGTTCCCAATTCTGAAAATCTGGCATACAAAAAAGAGAGGTCCAGTCTCTCTCTCTCTCTTTATAAACTGGCAGCTTCCCCCACCCGGGTGCCCTCCAGATGTTTGGACTGTAGCTGCCCAGAGTCCTTCCGCCAGCTCAGCCCATCCGGAGAGGACCCGTTGGGGAAAACCTGGCATATTTAACCTTGGCGAGGAGGAGGAAGGCTGCAAGACCAGCTCAGACAAGGAAGCCTGGCATATTTAACCTTGGTGAGGAGGAGGAAGGCTGCAAGACCGGCTCAGACAAGGAAAAGCTAAGTCTCCAGAACCCCGTTTGCCTCCCGGGGGGGGGGGACTCTCATTTGGCCCATTTTAGCTGGATCCCAGTGGGCCTGGCAAGAAGCGACAGCTCCTCCTTTCATGCCCTGCGTTTCTCTGCTAAGCTTTCCAGAGAAAAAAGACTCCCAAGATAAGGGGAACCCTTCCCCCCCCCCAAATTATGGCAGCAACAAGCAGAAAGGCTCAAGGTTGGTGGTGGATTGGGCTCTCCAAATGGGAAATCTTTTCAGAATGTCCTCTGTCCTGTTTTCCTGACTATAAGGGGTGGGGGTGGGTGAGATGTCGTATCGTGGGCACATCCATGCACACCAGTGGCAAATGTGGGCTGGCCCCCCGGACTGGAACATGGTGTGTCTCCGGCTGCCTTGTTTTCTCAGCCCTCTGGGTGGGGTGGGGGTTCTCTGCCTGTTAAGGGACAAAAAGGGAAAGTGAGGTGCAAGGGGCTTATCATGAGAACTTTTAAAAATGAAAATGCTGGCACTGAAGCGCCCTTGCGAGCCAAGCGGCTTTCAGACAGAGTGTTACCAAATAAAACATCTTCTCTTTTTTTTTGCTATTTAACCTTCCACAACTTGCCTTCTGCGACTGGTTTGTCCTAGAACTTGGGAATGTTACTTTTCGGAGTTGTTGAGTAATACGGAAAATAATGCGGGTAGCAATATATAACTGAAATGCAGAAAGAGCCCTGAATATTGACATTGAAGGGTAATGCAGAAGGGTTTTTTTTTTCACCCCAATTGATACCATTATCATTCATGTGAGGTGCTAGTCCCTCTCTAATTGGCACTGGTTAGGCCTCCTCTAGCGTCCTGTGTCCAGTTCTGGACACCCCACACTTCAAGAAGGATGCTAACAATTTGGAACAAGTTCAGAGGAGGACAGCAAGGATGATGATCAGGGGACTGGAAACCAAGCCTCATGAGGAGGACAGGCTGAAAAAATTGGCCATGTTTAGCCTAGAGAAAAGAAGGCTGAGAGGAGATAGGATAGTACTTTTCAAAGACTTGAAAGCTTGTCCTACAGAGGAAAGACAGGATCTGTTCTTGATCATCCCAGAGTGCAGGACACTCAACAATGGGCTCAAGTTAAAGGAAGCCAGATTTCGGTTGAATATCAGGAAAAACTTAACTGTTAGAGCAGTATGTCAATAGAACCAATTAGCGCAAGAGGTGGCGAGTGCTCCAACACAAGAAAAACTTAAGATAATCACCTGGCAGATATTCTTTGGCTGTATTCTATAATTTCTCCCATCTTGTTTAATGTTTTTGCTATGCAAAAATTGTTTTTTATACATATACATATACATTTATACATATTATTATTATTATTATTATTATTATTATTATTTATTTAATTTATATCCCGCCTATCTAGTCGTGGTGGACTACTCTATATATATATATATCCATTGTACTATTTTATATTGTTAGCCGCCTAGAGTGGTCCTGATCCGACCAGATAGGCAGGATATTAAATAAATAAACAAACAAACAAACAAATAAATAAAGTATTCATGCCTTGAGCAGGGGGTTGGACTTGATAGCCTTGTAGGCCCCTTCCAACTTCATTTTTCTATGATTCTATGTGTTTCCCATGTAATCCTGGGCTCCTGCCTACAGGAAATCAGATTTTGGCAGAGCATCAGGGCAAACCTCCTAACTGTTAGAGCAGCATGGCAATAGATATAAATGACCTCCGGAGGTGGTGAGCACGCCGACGCTGGAGGCATTCGAGAGAAGTCAGAGAACCAACTTGCAAATCTGTTTGGATTTGGATTCCTGCACTGAGCAGGGGGTTGGAGACGATGGCCATACAGCCCCCCCCCTTCCAGTGCCACGACTCTAGATCAAAAAAAGCATCATCATCATCATAAACAGAATCCACTGACTGGAAAAAGTGGACAAAGCATTTTGCACATGGAAATGGCATAGATTTCTAAATGCACCCATGCCAATAATAGCAACGCCAAGACTGGTGTGGTGATCCTTACTGGGATTACCCAAAATATTGAGCCAAATTTTATATGTTAAAAAGGGAGAGACCCTCCCCCCCTCCCCGGGGCCACAGAAGTCCAAATCAGTGGCTCTCTTCTAAATGACTTTTCTACCCTGTTTAAAACTGCACCTACGGTCACTAATCCTTACCTCTTCTAATGATTTTGCAGGGTTACAGTTGCTTTCTTGTCTATATATATATACAGTACATGTTACACATTTCATTCATATTCTCCCCCCTCCCTTTTGCTGGATCTTGACTAGATCTGAGAGTTTGTTTCCCTCCTTCTGCATATTCCGGTCGGCTCCTCTTTGGCCACTGGCCTGGCTCTTACACCTGTACCCCTGAGTAGCAGCAAAGCCTATGACGGAGCGCAGCCTCGGATCGGGTCCTTGGAGGGAGAAGAAAGCCAGGAGGGGCTCTTCTCTTCCCCTGTTTAGGGTTCTCTCTTTTTGCAACCTTAAGAAAAAGTGGTTGGGTCAAGTCTGTGCAAGCAGATCAGGCAAATATTAAATTAAAAAAAATAAAGTTTTTTTTCCCCCTTATCACGACCTGGAGGAGGAGGAGGATTACAACCAACAAGAGTGGGTCGCGGCCCTCGCCCAGTGACCGGAGCTCTCCTCCGTTGAGGGGTCATGGTCTCCTTAGGAGTAAATCCCCTGGAGCAACGGCGCTCTATTACTGAAGCTCCTGAATCTCCTACACGCTTTGGAGGGGTGGGGTGGGGTGGATTACAACTCCCATCATCACTCGGTCAAATGGGGATGATGGGGGCTGTAGTCCAACCCACCTGAAACGTCGCCCTTTGGAAGGGGAGGGGAGCCTGTTCTAGGCACACACGCTAAGGAAGGCCAATCCCTCTCCGGACGCACGGGAACCTTACTCTCGAGGAGACCCGCCCGCGCCTTAAGCCAGCGAGCGGCGGGACAACGACGAACCCGCAGC